GAGGGTGGGGACATCTTGCTGCAGGGAAGGGAGGGCCACAACGCGTGTCCTCGGGGCTGGGGGTGATGGTGGGGGGCACACGGCCAAGTGGGCCTTGCTGTCTCTCCCTAGGGCCCGGTGAAGATACAGCTCCCCACCCCCTGGCCATGCTCAGACTCGGGACCCTAAGCCTCTGGCCCCGGTTAGAATTTCTCTCCCTTAGGATTCCACGCAAGGCCCCTGGGGGCCCAGCACACCCGGACCAGAGGCGGCTCAGCTGGGCCCACCTGTGTCCTACAAGGCCGCCACCTTCAGGGTCTCAGGCTTCCTCTTGGGGGCTGAGGGGTGGCCCTCCCCCCTTGCCTGGAATAGGTGATGCCCCTTCCGTTGGTCCCTCCACGGACGTGGGAAGCCCCTGTGGGCCCCGGACGGGTCCTTTAGCACTTCTGCCCGTCAAAGGAGAAGTGTGCGCTGGACTCTGCCCGTCAGGGAGGGTGTCGGCCTGTGAAGGCTCCAGGTGCAGGCAGCTGCCCAGTGGAACCCAGGGAGGCAGCTCGACTGCCCACCCCCCGCCACCCCGGCAAGGTTTCGGAGCATCCGATGGCCCCAGGAGTAGGGTCTGAGGCTGGAGCCGCAAGGGTTAACCAGGCCAGAGCCGCTGACAGCAGGGGGGGGTGTGTGGGGGGGGGGTGGGAACAAGTCTCCTACTGGTGGTGACCGCGGTGATCAGGGGAGGCCCACCCTGCTGGCTGGGGGCGCAGACCACGTGACCGGTTCTCGGGCTCCCGAGCTGCAGCGGCCACCGGGGCCATCCCTCTCATGTGACCACGTGCCTTCAGTGGACCGCGTCCCTCCCGCGGGGACTTTCCCGTGGCCTCTGGGTGGGGAGGGCGGGAAGGGGCGGCTTTCCTGCTCTGGCCACAGCCTGGGAAGACTCTCAGCAGAGGAGGCCTGTTTCATCGCCCTTCCTTCCCTTCATTCCAGCGGCCCCGTGGGACTGGGCCTGGGCTTGGACCAAGCTGGGTCCCTCTCTCTGCAGAACAGCCCGTGGGGACCCTCGCTTTAAGGGGACCAGGTGTGCTCAGCCCACGCACCCGGGGGCTGACCTTGGTACCTCCATGGCCCCATTTGTGTTTCACAGGCACCCACATCCTTGAAGCCAAGGCTACGTGTGAAGAGCATCTAAATGTGTCAAGGTCGAGGACCCCGTCCTTCGATGCTGCTGGCCTGGAACTGGGGGAGCTCGGTCCCAGCCTTGTAATCGGGGCCCTCATGCAGGAATGAGGCCTCCCCGCCCGACACAGCCCTGGTGGAATTGCCCAGTTATTACTCCTGGCTGTGCCCTGGCCCACCCTCTCAACCTGAGGCTTTCCAGAGGCCCCCTCAGGCTCTGAGCCCCGTCTCGTCACCTTCTCGGCAGTGTACGACGCTTGGTCCCCAGGGGCACAGGTCAGGGGTCACGACATCAAGCCCCTTCCTCCCAGCCCCGAGCTCTTGAGAACCTGTCTGTCACTTTGCCTGGGGGCTGGTGGAGGCTGGGGCCCTCCCACGGCCGTGGTCAGGGGCCTCTCCCCTCTGCCAGGGGAGGCTAACGCCTGCCTCTCTGCAGGCGGGGAGCCGAGCCTCAGGGCAGGCCCGTGTCTCTTCCAACATTCCCCCACAGAGAACCCAGACCCAGTAGGCAGCCCACCCGCGGGTGGGTCTTGCTGTGGGTGGTGGAGCCATATACTCCGCTCACTCTGGGCCCACGTTTCCTGTGGTTTTCAAAAGGGCAGGTTGAGATTAATTCTGAAAATGCAGCCCATTGCCTCAGGTGGGCCCTGCTTCTGTCACCTCTACCATAGGTGTCAGCCAGGGTCAGGTCTCATGAGCTCAGAAACAAGCCATGAGAATGGAAGAAGTGCCAGAAACTGCTTTTGCCTTGACAAGAGCTTTCTGTGTCTTAGAGGCTCAGTTTTTGGTTTCCATGAGAGAGTCCCATTAACGCGCCACACTCATTCCCTTTCTGATACCCGCATTTTCCTGCCTTTGTATCTCGTCACCTGGTCTCTGGATGGGAGGACAATGTCATCGTCTTCTGCTGGTGTTGCCATAACACAGAGCGAGTGTTGGTAGACAGCTGACCGTAGATCTCAGATGCAGACCAAGAGACCATCGCATCCTTATTCCCAGAAGCGGGAAAGCTCAGATCCAGGAGACCCAGTGAGACCTTGTGTAGCCCTGCTGGGGGCCACTGGAAGCCCGTTGTTGTCCCATAAAGATTGTCAACCACTCGTAATTGAATCCAATTAGAAAGAGATTGTCTAACTTTAAACAAATGGTGAACCAGCGAAGCGTTCTCTGGTGAGCTGCAAATCTGATGCCTTGGCACTTCCCAGTGCTGTCAGGCCGAGCACATACCCAACTCGGAGCCAAATATACTAATGCCGAGAATTAGTCTAAAGGCACATGAGAGACTGGGGAAGAGAGGATGATTTTTTGGACTTAATATTAAAGGCCCCATTTGCTGTACTGGACTACAGGCTCACAGGATCTCCTGCCCATTTCATAATTAAACTATTCCAGGAGTCCTAATTTACAGGATATTAACTCCTTTGCACCAAACCTTACATCATGTGTCCTTCCTTTGCCCTGGTTTATTTTTTTTAAAAAATTCTCCATGGAGACGGTAAATGTTTTTAATAAGAAGTTGACAATCCACTTTCTCCATACTTCAGAAATAACCAGGGTTAAGCCTTCTGATCATATTACTCGATGTGTTCCATTTGGGGTTTTTCTTCTCTTGCATCGTGAGCCAGAGACGTGAAGACAGTTTATGAATTAGAGGCAGTGACATCATGCTGGCCTGTTTGAAAAAGTATTCCATCATATGTGGGTGCTGAAGGATGAGTCTGGGGTCCAGGAAGCTCGGGTCCAGGCGTGGGGGTACAGAGCTGCACCGAAGGCTCCGCTCCACTTAGAAACAGCAGGGCTGTGTAAACCATATGCATTCATACGTCCTTCAGAAAGTGAATGGTTAGCCCAACTCTGGTACATCCATTCCAGGGAGCATGACTCATAGGAAAAGGGAGCAAATTACCGACATTCACTGACACTTGGGTGGATCTCCAAAGAATTCTGCTGAGTGAAAAATACACCCATCTCTAAAGGTTAGATGCTGTCTCATTCTCTTTATAAAACCTTCTTTTTATTTTGGTTTGATACATGTAGAGATGCACTGCTATTTATGATATTTATGCTATTATTTGCTGTTTGATACCTAACACTCTTGGAATGACAAAATTCCAAAAGTGAGCATGGATGGGTGGTCAGCCATGGGTGGGAAGTGGAGGTTGGGGGTGGGGGTGGCCCGAGAGGTGGGTTGTGAAAGGGCAGCCTGAGGGAGGTAGTGATGGACACTGGGCCGTGGCTGTGGTGGTGGATTCACAGATGTGATAAAACCGTATAGACTAAACACCCACATGCACAAGAAATGAGTCCACATAGCTGGGAGCCATGGATAAGGCTGTTTCCATGTCACTTTTCTGGCTGTGATGTTATAGTTTTTCCAAGTGATACCAGTGGGGAAGCTGGGAATGGGCATATGGGATCTTCCAGTGTCATTTCTTACAAATGCATGTGAATATTCAGGTAATTCAAAATTTTAGAAAACTAATTAAAACAAAACATGAGTCCAAGTTGTCTTGGAACAAGTGAAATAAAACATGCCTGTAGTAACGGGACAGGGTCATGATCTGCTGCTGTTTCTGATCGATCTGTGCTTCCTCCCGATGACTGCCAACGTCGCCAACAGGGAATCAGTTCTGGCCTTAATGCATGCTGTCCAGCGTCTGCTGGTGCCCTGATGGGCTCCTCACCCTCTCTTGGGACCTTGCGGGGGATCCTGCTGTGCCAGCCTCCAGGGAGGGGAGAGCTCTGGAAGGTCTGGCAGGAGCCTGGAGCGGCTGGGCTGGCAGTCTCCCTCCTGTCCTGGACGGCGGGTGGCCTCGGCCCTGGGGGCCGCCCCGTGGGTGCCGTGCTGCTCCTGCTAAACGCAGAAGCCGGGCATCGACGGGCCTGGGCTCAAGGCTCCAGAGGACCTGGCCTGCTACTCCAGGCTGCCTGGGGTCCCCAGCTCTCCTGCAAACGCCTCTGCTCTGGGATGAATTTCTCTTCTTTTGGAAATGACAGCACAAAATTAAGTGTGTGTGTATAAGGGTGTCTGTAAGTGTGTATGTCAGTGTGTGAGGGTGTATGTGAATGAGTATATGTGTCAGTGTATGCATGTGTGTTAGTGTGTACGTGAGGGTGTATGTGACTGTGTGTGTGTATGTGTAATTGTGTGTGTGTGAGGGTATATGTGCGTGTGTCAGTGTACATGTGTGAGTGTGTATGTGTGAGGGTGTATGTGAGTATATGTGTGCATGAGAGTGTATGTGAATGGGTGTGTCAGTGTATGTGTGTGAGTGTGTGTGTGGGGATGTGAGTGGGTATGTGTGAGTGGGTGAGAATGAGCAGGTGTGTGTGTGTGAGAGAGAGAGCATGTTTGTGAGTGTGTGTGTGCACGCACTACAGTGATCGACCTTCTCCATAATCCTTTGAATTGAACAAAGGGTTGAAAAAATTTTCACAATTAACAGAGTAAATAGATGATACTGGAGGGGCATGCTGCTGCCTAATATCCTTCTTTAAAAGGAGATGAAAGCTGTAAGACCGGCTGGTCCCTCTGCCTCTGTCTGAACCGCTGAAATCTCGCATTCCTTTGTATGGCTGACCCGAGGCCGTGTCACTCAACCCGCCCTCAAATCCACTCACGGCCGTTCCTCAGGAAATATGTCTTAAAATCCACACTGTGGGGGGGCCCTGTCTGGGAATGCGTAGATCAGGGAAGAAGCTCCTAAGGATTGCACTAGGACAGATGACGAGAGAGTGTAACCGGCAAATAACATCTGTTTGCATGGTTCGGAATTTGCTGGAAACGGCTCCCTTTTTTCAACTGCCCACCTGAAAAGAATTTTCCTCGACGACAAATGTAGGAGGCGTCAGCTGCCGCGGCAGGTGCAAAAAAGCGGGAAGGGCCCTTGGCCTGCCTCACAGCCCTCGATCCGCTCGCTGAAGCCTGCTCTGCTTGGCAGCGGTGGTGGAGACTCGTTTGTAGAGGGGGTGCCCATGGGCAGCCCTGTGCCTCTCTGCACAGAGACGTTTTCATTCTTCAGAGCGGCCCGCTTTGCACCCGAAGGGCTGCGCCTGGGCTGGGAGTCCTGTCAGAAGGGTGCAGTGTGACGACAGGGACGTACAGGCGCTGGGTGTTGAGACCTGCATCCTCCGGTGAGAGGGGGGAGCTCCCACACTCCCCCATCCTCAGAGATTGGCAGTGCCTTTCAAAATTGCACAGGCTAATTGAAATTGTTTACTTTGGAAATACTTCTCCTTTTGTGGACATTTATGCTTAATTCAAAGTAGACTTGTGAGTTCAGTGTTAGCCCTCAGTGAGAGTCTGTACCCTCGGTGGATGTGTGGATGATGAAGCTCTGAGAAGATTACCCTGCTTGGCCCTGGGAACAGGCTCCGAAGATTGGCTTCCTGGAGAAAAAGGGCATCCCCTGCTCTCTACTTTAGTGACAGTCTTGTCTAGTGAGGATGGGCTTGGTGTTTAGAGTGGTGACCGTCTTCCAGCTCCCAGGCACCCTTCTTTATCTCCAGGACCTTGGACAGGCTGTGTACACTCTCTCATCCTCAGTTTCCCTGCTTACAACTCCCTGCTCTCTAGGATCCCTGCAAGAAGTAGGTGAGTCAATTCACCTAAAACGCCTTGCCTGGTACCCACCCAGCAGATGCCCGAGACTGACTTTCAGGCAGAAGTACCTCCTACTACCCTTTACCATCCCTAAAAAGTCACCTTGCATCTTTGATGTCTAGCTTCCCTAGTCTTTCCAGGATCAAGGATCTGTGTTTGTTTCAGAAAAACTATCAGCCACCAGTGCCTAAAGCTAAGACCCTTGCAGGCTGGGTTCACTGATTACCTAGTAGCTTATAATAATTGGTCAAAGGCATTCATCCTAGGGGGTCGATTAGCTGGAATCAGCTAAGCATTTTGTATTTCTTTACTGTAAGGCTTTTTGGAGGTAATTCCACCCATCATTAGAAAGGCAAACTTGGCCTTCCACCAGGAACCTCTGCCAAGGCCATCTTTCCCATCGGGAGACTGTGTGCGGCTGGGCTGGTGTCTCCTGCGGACAGGGAGAGGTCCCTCTGCAGGGATCAGCTTGGGGTGAGGACACGTGCCCATGTGTGTGAGTGTGCACACGTGAGTGTACATGTGAGAGAGACTTGGCAGGGCCTTGGATCTTCATAAGACCAAGACAAGGGTGCAGTTTTGGTCTTTGGGAGCACAGTTCTGTTGTGTTCTGGATGCTTCCTCACATGGACATTCGAGCCCCTTCTCGAGACAATGAAAATGTCCTCAGTGCGAACCCCCTGTTCCCAGGCACATCCCCCAGGAAAACCAGGGCTCTTTCCCTTTAAAACACCCACTTTTCTCCTGATGCTGGAGTCTGTGTCTTTAAGACAATAATTGCTGAATTGAAATTTGAGACTGTTATCTTAATAACCAATTACTCAAATAACTTTGAAATTGGCTTAAATTGGCTCGTCATGCTACATTTACCTGAATCTTTTTATGGGAAAGTTAGGAACAAGGAAAAAAAAAAAATTCTTGGCGGTCTCATTTGTTTGGTTTCACTGAAGGGTCTTATTTGCAACAAGCAAGTGGCTCTGGGTCTCCATGGCCCAGACCTCCGCCTCCTAGGATGGAGTCTGCTCTGCTGCAGTCTTCTCCAAGGTCCACCCACCCACCGCCACAGCCCTTTCCTGCCCTCCCCGGGTCTTTCCAAAATAAGGCTCTCCCTGGGTGAGGGAGCAAACATTGATGTGTGCCATGCCCGTGAAAGAAATTCCCCTCTTCTCTGCAAGAGATTTCATGGACTTTTTTTTTTTTTTCCTTTTGGAAAATAATAGATGAGGCTATGTAGCTTTAATTTTCTCCCTTCCAACAGCTATGAAAGCTTAAAGGTGAGAGTCACAATCTTTAAACTAAGGGAATTCACCATTTATTAGTGGTTTGAATGGACAAGGGCGAGTGCCTGGGAGCAGTGTACTCTGGTTTTATATTTAGCTATAAACCCAGTAATAGAATATTACATCTTTTTCTCTAATCTAGTCTTATATCCGGTCATTTTTCTTATAGTCTAAACTCAAGTAATGGGAATTCTTAATGCTCTTCACAACCATGCTCCTTTTTTTTTTTTTTTTATTCCTGCACTGTTAAAGAAAAAATGTTGCTTCTGCAAACATTTTACTGATTTTGCAAAGATCCAAATTCATTGTATTTTAGAAATAAGAGTAGAATGTTGAGGCATTTATGTATCATAAGTTTGGGGACAAAAATAAGAGAGCATAAAGGAATGAGGAAAATGGCACCAACTTTCAGGACGGCCCCCAGGGCCCGCTCAGCTCACAGGATCCCTTTCCCTTTCCTCTCTGACACCTGAGGCCCCCAGCACTGGGCGGAAACTTGGAGCCAGGCTAGGGATGGGGTACTTTTGTTTACAGGTTGCCTTGGAAATATGTGAAACTATTTTTAACTTAGCTTCTACTCCCTGACCACAGAGAGGTTGGAATTTTCATAACTGAATCACAACATAATGGGCCTCTGTTTTAAGGCGTTGGAACAAAGACAGGAAAAGAACAAAGATGATTTCCAGGTTCCATATTGATCTCCAACTATAAGAAGACAGATGACTCTCTGCAGACACACTGCTGCTCCCTGGAGAAGGAATGTTCAGAGTGGTGGGATGTGTGAGAAGCCTAGAGGCAAGGAGGTATGGGGACTCAGAGCTGGGGAATTCCCCATGTGACTCCACACGCCCTGGGTGTACATTCCCATGGTGTATATGCACACGCATGGTATGCACACACACTATGGTGGGCTCCTGGGTGTCCAGCCCCCGTGTCCTCGTCTGTAACAAGATGAAGACCTTTAAACTTGCAGTCTGGTGGTGGAGACACATGCTGGGAAGTGTGGGGGGTGGCGGATGGCAAGTGGGCAGATCAGTGACCTTGAAACAGAAGCCCTTTTCCTGAGGGGTCCTGGCAAAGCCCTTGGCTGCCTTGTCTCTGGGCTTCTTATCTCTGGAGCCAAGAAAGATTAAGCTTCCCACCCTCCCCTACATGTTTGGGAGAATGAAATGAGAAGAAGTATGAAATGGAGTCAGAAAATTGTAAAGCACTCTATATGAATATGAAATATTAGTGCTTTCATGATGCAACAAGATTTTCAACCTCATAATTTACCTCCAACTCCGGGAGGAAATCACCTTGTCATAAAAACATCTTGGAATGGTGAACCATTATTCTTCTATACTGGGAGAAAATTCAGAGAGGCTTCCAAAAGAACGAGATTATAAAACCGTAAAAGAATCTAAGTTCAAAAGCCCTTGGAAACTGCTGGACTGAGCCTTAATAATTCAAACAATTCAGCCAAAGTTTTTCTTTCTTATGGAATAAAACATTCTTTTTTTTTTTTTTTTGACACACCAGATAACGTGTCATCAAGCGCTCGGGCAGGCTCCAGAAACACGGACCCTGAGCTTCTCCCACTCCTGAGTTCCCCTTTGGAGCCTTGCCGGCTTTCCAGGATGCCGGCGGTCCCCAGGGAGAGCTGCCCAGGCTGGGACCCATCCCCGGCTTCCCTCACTGCCTTGCTCGTGTCCACATCTCCCGTCCCCTCGCTCCCCTCCCCCAGCTCTCCCCTCCCCTCCTCCTCTTCTTCCCTAGCTGATGTCACGGTTGCCTCATGACCTCATCCAGAAGAGGCTTTCCTGCTCCCTCTGCAACCTGTCTCTTCCTGCTCATAGCCTGGGTGGCAGGCATCAGCTAGAGACTCATCTCTGGGTGGGCTTGACCACCGCAGGGTCAGGGTCAAGGACTGGGGAGTAACAGGACTGGGTTCCTGAGAATAGAAAAAGCAAGAGAAGGGTGTTGGGAATGCATTTCTGGCCTTTTCTACATTATTCGAATGATTTTGGCAATGCCTTGCTTGCTTAAGATTTGCAAGGGAGCACAATTTTTTTTTCTGGGAATATTTTAATATAAGAAATAGGTTTCCAATTTTATTTGTAATGCAAAAGGAGCAGCTTAATATTCTGTATGCCGCGGAGGAGGCTTCCAAAGAATCTGGGCAAATACAGTTTTTAGAATAAATATCTTGTAATTTTTTCTATCTACAGAAGGACTAGGATATTGAAATAAATGCTTGTATGTATTACAGTGGGCTTCCCAGGTGGTGCTAGTGGTAAAGAACCCACCGGCCAATTCAGGACACATAAGAGATGCAGGTTTGAGGTCTGGGTGGGAAAGATCCCCGGGAGGAGGGTGTGGCAACCCACTCTAATATTTTTGCCTGGAGAACCCGGTGGACAGAGGACCCTGGCAGACTACAATCCATGGGGTCGCGAACAGTAGGACACAAATGAAGCAACTGAGCATGCACATGTATTAAAGAACCAAACCTTTTGTAGTTTTTCCTCTGGACTCAACTAGGGAAAGTTGGTTAAGTAGAATGTGGGGCTCTTGAGTAGACATCATTAGCTCTGCCCGTTTAGTTACAGGTGGAGTTTGGTACAAGAAGAAATAGCCAGTGATGCCACAATGGAAGGCCAGGAAGAGATAAGTAAGCATGTCCGATCTTCTGATGTGCAAAGATGGAGTTGCCCCCCTGAGTCACAAGAAGCAGACGGGGCCTTGGGAATCCCAGGGCCACTGTAGCTCCCAGCAGACTGAGGTCCAGCAAGCTGTGGTGCCAGCTGGCTGACCCGGGATGGCTCTGGCCAAAGGCGAGACTGGGAGGCAGGGGGCCAGAGGGCGTGCCGTGAGTGATGCAGCCATTTTGCAGCTCAGCAACTGTGTGGTCCTTAGACCCCTAGATGGGTGCCAGCAGTTACAAAACTGCAGTGTCAGAGGCAAAGGGGCAATGATACAATTTCATTTGTGTCCTTCTCACAAACGGGAACTGTGAAAATAATCAGGATTTTAGAGTAATCCCTTGCATTCTTGAAGCTTGCACAGTGTCACGAGGCATTGTCTCGATAATATCCGCTTGGGGTCATTCACTCTCCTCCACGTTATTTTACGGCACCTGGAGCTATGTATCACAGCCACACTTGCATTTGTGTTACCCATTTGTGTCGACAGAAACAAAGCACATGGGATAAAACGCACAACGTGAGAGTTGTGAGTTACGTTTTTTTCGGGGCAAAATGAGGCAATAGCCTGGGAAACAGCATAACTCTAAGAAACTGCTCCAAAGAGGCAAGGGGGTAGGTCAGTATGTACATGATTTCAGTGAAGGGGGTGCAGTCAAGAACGCAGTGTAACAGAGGCTGGCCCCTAGTCACCAGGAACACATGTCACTCTCAGTGACCTTAGTGCTTTTCTAGGTAGGAGGAGATGCAAGAATTGGGCTCACAAACTCATCTCCTGAAAATCTCTAACTCTCTGAAGACCTGTTCTGGCGGTTTCTCCCAGAGCACAGGGTGCCTCTTTCCTGATGTCCACCCTGAACTCTTTGAGGAAGTGTTGAAGGTCAGCAGCTGTAGCGGCTCTTGATTTAATCTTTGTCGAGGTAGGTGGCAGGTGCCAGTTTGCAGTTGGCACTGTTATGTTGAGGGTTTCCCTGGTGGCTCAAGTGGTAAAGAATCTGCCTGCAATGCAGGAGACACAATTTCGATCCCTGGGTTGGGAAGATTCCCTGGAGAAGGGCATGGCAACCCACTCCAGTATTCTTGCCTGGAGAATCCCATGGACAGAGGAGCTTGGCGGGCTACAGTGCATGGGTTCGCAAAGAGCTGGACACAACTGAAGCAACATAGCATGCACACACTGTTTTGCTGTAGTCAAATAATTTTTACAAAGCAAATAGGTGGCTCAAGTGTTCTACTGAAATCTAAAACTAGTGATGCAAGCGACCACCCTTCAGAATCATACCCTTCGATTTGAAAACCATGAGGAAGGATCCCAGCAGGAATTCTGCTGGGGAACTTGTATGCCTGGCTTCAAAGGTAATAGGGAAGGATGTCGAATAAGCTGCCAGCCCCGCTTGCCACCATGGCATCACTGGACCTTGCAGCCACTGTTGGGAATTTTCCAGTGTGTGTGCAGAGCAGCTACTACAGGACTTTCTGGGCGGACAGAACCACTGAGAGCAGGAAGGTGTGACCTCTGTGCCAAGGAAGTGCTCACAGCCTCCTCAGGCCGTCAGCATTTCCTCAGACCCGGTCACTGCTACCACAGCACAGAGTTTTAATCCAGTTAATATTTACCTTGCAGCCTGTGATTAGTGTAAAAGCATGCTTGATGACATGCCTTGGGATGGGGATTGCGTCTGGTGCAGTGCAGACCCGCTTGGTTCACAGAAGGGGCTGGTCAGCACTGGGCCTCCCATCCAAAGAGTGAGAGCTGTGAGCACCCTCCGGGCAGTGCCCACACACCTGTCCTTTGGGCAGGGAGCACGCAGGACACGGCTCCTCCCCACCGAGGTGCTCGGGAGGCTGCGGGAAAGCCTTGCGGAATTCCGGGACGTGGGATGATGTTAGAACAACTCTGCTTGACCTTGGACATTCCCAAGGAACATCCACAGAACTTTTCTGGGGAGCTTACTCCAGAAACAAGTCTCAGTCAAGTATTCGGCTCTTGAATAGCCTGAACTTGGCATTTTGGGGTTGAAATATGATGTTTAAACTTCAAGCTCAAATGGTGTTTTGCTTTTTTTCCCCTTAGATCAAACTGTGGCTCAAACTCATTGAACAGCCAGAATTTTTCTTTTCTTATACTTGGTGTTTTTATTACACATTGACATTATGAAATTGATTACCTAGTATTGGGAATTCTCTGAAAATGCATCCAAAGACTGAAACAGAGCATAATGTTATTGTTGTTTTTTTTCCCCCAGAACCAAATACTATCAAACAATGGATTAAGAATCCATTCACTATTATCTCTCAAATTGAAAGATAATTCCACCTTCCAGCTGTTGAGGAAATTCTACACATCAAAGGCAACAGGAGGGCAGCTCTGGTTTTCAGAGAGAAATCGCTTCATAATTTCTGGGCCAAATGTCCAGTCCCGACAGTCTGATAATTGCAACAATCTATGGACAGAGTTTTCCACCTGGGTGGCCAAAAATCAAGGTAGGAGACAGGCTGCCTTGGGCTCGAGTTCTCCACACTGATATCCCGAGTGTCTTCCTAAGAGGTTATGAGCAGTAGTTTCCTCTCACGGATCCAGAACGGTTGTTTTAATTGTTAAATTAAAAGTGTTATGATGGAAGGAACCTATCCGGACAGGGACAGAGGATGGTAAAAGGAAGAAACAGTGGCCCGGCATGTCTTTACCATGAGGTTACTTTGGAGTGGCCGACAGCAGAACGTCTGCAGATGTCTGAGGTTCTTGAAACAGAAGAGATGCAGTGCAAAGGAAATTCTAATAATAATCTTGAAATCAAGTAATAAATTACCCAGCAAGCCCGGGAGTGAGTGGGGGGCTGTGAAAGGGGAAAATAAGTCATTCCCAGGCCTCGTCAGGGGACAAGAGGGTAGAGAAGTAATTGAGGGTCACAGCAGAAGTGGAGGAATAGGATATCTTTGGGAGGAAGACTTAGAATCTGCTTTTACATCATTTTAGAGAAATATTTGTCTGACGTTTTCCCGAGAAGGGGAGGTTTCTCAGCCCATCCCAGTGGGAGGCAGAGGGCACACTGCAATTGGGACAAGCAGGGAAGTCACAGGGCTCCTGGGATCTGTGACTCTCTGCTGCCCCCAGCCCAGATGAGAAGAGGAGGGGGCAGGTCAGCGGGACCAGAGCCTGGACACAGAATGGAACAGTGGGCAGGGTGTGGCGGGACATGCTGGCAGGAGCTGAGGTCTTTCCCCAAGGGTTCCAGCCACCTCTGGGAGCTGCAGGTGGAAGGTGATGGGCCACAAGCTGAGCACAGGCACCTCCCTCAGTTTCCATCTGATCCCCCATTGCCAGAAGCTAGTAGGACACCCAGAGTGAGGAAGCCTGAAGCTGTGTCCAGCTCAGACCCTGGACAGAGGGCAGAGAAGAGGGGCAGAGATGGGCTGGGGGCGATTAGAAGATGCCTAACACAGAAAGTGGGCAAGAGAGGAGTGAAAATGAACAGCAATGTGGCCAAGTTAGTAAGGAGAGAGAGGTGACTAGTAATTCCATCAAATCAGCAAAGAAAGAAAGAAAGACACGGCAATGGAAACAACACATACAAGCAATAAATCTGAGTGAACCTGCCAATGGGCTGAACTCTTCCATGAACTGTAAGACCACCCCTCCGTCTTTCAGGGTCCCCAGATCAAAGTCCTTCCCTTCCTCTAGCAGGTGGGTACCTCACGGGTACCCTATGCCACCCTTCTATGCCTCATACAGGGCCTGGCACACGGTGGGTTTCAGGGCACATGGGGATTAAATGGCCCCCTCCCCAGAGCTCTGGTCACAGAGTGGAGCCTTTGGCTGTAATCCCAGAAAAAAAGAGCCTTCTAGGACTCCAGCATTCTGGCACTTTTTCTGAGAGAGTCCTCTTTCTTACTGGTGGTTCTATCTGGTCAGGGAGAAAACACAGGGATCCACAGTTTTCTCACTTGTGAAACCTCCCCAGAATTGACGTATTGCAATTCATGTGGACAGAAACACAAAATCCTTTTATTTATAACTAATCCAGCATGGCTCACCACTACCCATCTATTGATTAGTAGAGAAAAAAAGTAGCTGAATACCCTGGTGTTATTTAGCCTAGTGTTAAGCTCATTCAGACCTGATGATTTACCGGATCCCTTCAGGCAGTTCTCAGTTTTCTCCAACAGAGAAGTGGTCAGCTGCTCTGAGGCTGCCCTCTCCTCACCGCCCCCGCCCCCCCCAGTGGTCTGCAAATGGGTGTGGTAGAGAAGATTCAGGACCCTACTTTCCCTGTGTCCTAGGGCACCCTGTCTTCTCCACCTGGGACCTTCCCATCAGCAGGGTCAGAGTTCTGTGGGTTGACCTCACTCAACTTTGCTATGTTTGGAGCCAAAACCTGTGCTAGGATCACTGGCAGCTACCTTCTGGGGTCTCAAGCAGAGGAGAGAGCAAGAATCCCTCTCATACTGGACTCAATATTAGTTATCCCCCCAAATTCATATGCTGAACCCTAACCCTCAGTGGGATGGTGCTCGGGGATGGGGCCTTTGGGAGGTGATTAGGTCTTGAGGGTGGAGCCTCCTGAGTGGGACCAGTACCTTTACAAGAAAAGACCCCAGAGAGCTCCCTCACCCCTTCCTCCATGTGGAGACACAGCGAGAAGACAGCCCTCTGTGAACTAGAAGGGGAGGCCTCAGCAGATACAGAATCTGCCAGCACCCTGATCTTGGACTTTCAGAAGCCCGAGAAAAACATTTCTGCTGTCTACAAGTGTTCCCGCCTCTGGCATTTTTGTTATAAGAACCCAAACCGACTAAGATGCCTCCTCTGAGGTTCCTGAACTTCTCAGTAATTAAGACTAAGATCTGCCCACCCCTCCTCCTGCCCCAGAACTGGGGCATGGGCTTACCTTTCTTCTGCTTTCCCTGAGTTACAACCTCTTCAGCCACAGATGGCCTCATCTGGTCACGGGCAGGTGGATCACCACCCTCACGCTCAAGTTGCATCCTTTGAGCTCAGGTTCATCGACCACAAGGAGGTGATGGAAAATCTGGCAAGTGCCCTCTCCCCACAGTGGTCTTGCTGACAGAGCTCTTCCTTCGAGGACTTTTTTCTTCTTCTGTGCCTGCACAGATCTGGAAATAACCCCCCTCTGCCTTTTCTGGGTGACAAATTCCAGGGACCCATCAGGAAGTCTTGTCCTCTAGGCAACTCCGGCAAAGGCAGAGGAATCACACATCAACAATTTTCAGGATGTTGCCCCATTACAGCCGGGTTTGGGAACCTGTTGGCCTCCGTCTCTCTCAACATCACTCTCCGCCCGGCAGCATAATGGTTGTGGGCAGGTGCTGGGTTCATCCTTTGAAGTGCCTGCTCTTAAACCAGGGTTGGCAGAGAGTGAGAACTGGCCAACACAGGGCTTGCATGGGTTAACCTGCAACTCCATGAGTGCCTGCAGCAGCATCTTCAAGGTTAATGTTGAGTCAAGGGGGAGAAGCTAAAATGTGGCCGGAAGTGCAAGCACAGCCTTGACCCCTCAGACCCTAAGCAAAGGGGTCTCAAAACAAAGGCTGCATGCACACCTTTGCAGGGACATGGATGTAGGTAGTTAAGAAATTCAAATGATGACATTCCAGGGGTGGGAGGAAAGGATGCTTGCCTTGTGTTAATTTGGAAGCAATGAATACAAGATTTTGCTGTTGTTTAAAAAGAGAAAGCGAGGGAAATCAAGGTGAAGGTTTGCAGTGGGAGGAGGGGAGTTGTCTCAGAAATCCTGAGTGGTGGTTAATAATGAGAGACGGCACATGGTGAATCTAGAGCGGCTCCCCCTTGCAGTGGGCTTTGATCTGTGCTGCGGCTTCGGCGTGTTTTCTTTGTAAGCAAAAGGCTTCCACTTCGTGGTCCTCTGCAGCACCCGCTGCAGCATAACTGGCTCTTCACAGTGCCGCCAGCATCACAGTCACTAGCATCCGGTGACACAACACCTTGTCAGTAACACTGATGCCCACATCTGCAGCAGAGGCGCTCTGTTAAACTTTAGCCAGGCTGGAGGCATTGCCACTTTTGGTCTTCCCCGCCCTCCCCCACCCCCCCACAAAACAGCCAGTGATGTTCACTTTCAAACATGCAAACTCAAAGCACCTGTGTTTAATTTTCATCGGGAGCACCGTTTTCATTTCTGAGCTGCAAAACTTCCGTGCTCCTGGCCCCACTATGTCAAAAATGCACAGTGGCAGATTGGCATATTGGGCTATTAATAATTTGCTGTATGTGTTACAGATGTTGCCTAAATGAACGGTGTTCTATCACTGTTTCTTGACATTGGGGCCCTTGGAGTGGCAGGCTAAGACCCAGATCTGTCTACAACCTGCCTGTTCTGGAGAGAAAGGGGGGAAAAGTGGCCCCTCTGAGCAGAATCACATTCCAGCTTGCAAAGCCAATTTCTCAGATGTTCGCTCTGTCCTGTTCCTTGTTCTTCCTCTCAAACCTCATCTGGCCATGATGAAAAATGATGTGATGCAATTTTTTATTCTACGCTTGACACTCTTATGGAAGGCAATGTGGTTCATTGATTCCAAACTCCAAAAAGGTCAAGAAATGAGGAACCAAATTTTTGGAAGCAGCCCAGGAAAAACTTTCAAGCCCGGGAAAACAAAACTGCTAATTATTACCCCTTCTGTCGCCATTAAGCTTCAGAGGAGCACTGAGCATACGTTTCATGAGCCTGTACTTTTATATTAAAACATTATTGAGCCACCAGGTGAAATGTACATTATGTGAAAACCAGCTGAAATGGACAGTAGGTTTAAATTTCGACAGCAAACAGCTGTAGGCTCTCTCTAACTTTATTCAAATAATGAAACCAATAGGCTAGGCTACAGTTTCAAGTGTCCCCAAACAAATTTATATGAAAAATGATATTAATTTATCTGAGATGACTTCTGCCAAGAAACAGATATTTCTCTGTTA